AAAAAATAAATTTTATTTGATCAACAAACGCGTCATTAATTATTTATGATTGGCACTTGGTGTTGCACATATTTTTAATTGTTGACACAATTGGGAAAACAATCGAACGATTGGTATTTTGCTAATATTAATATTAATATAAATATATAATTATAAGATGTCAAGGCAGCGCACCGTTGAAAAAGAAACAATTTAAATATGAGATGTTTGATTATCGGAAATTGGCAGACATTGAAGCATGCACGTTATCTTGAACACTTTACAGTCATTCTCACACATTCCTTGTGACAAAAGGTTAATCAGACTAGTGTGCTCCGATGATACAATGATGTTGTTAAATTTTCAGGGGGGGGAGGTGGTTCTGAGATTTATTGAGGCTGCATCAATTGTCAATGACATTTTCACTAATCTTCCCAAACCAGAGAAGGCTGCTGGCATGCTGGCTGAAAAGTTACCTTAAACGATCCTAACTCTAGGGTAAGGATTGCACTGTGACCTAGTTGCAACTCTGCTGATGACTTGTAGTGCCATGTAAACATCCAGATCCATCAAAGCAACAAGAATCTTCAACTTGTTCTTACCTTTCAATTAATTTCTAACTCAACGTTTCTACTTTCCAATTTATGGATTTTATTCAAAATTTTTGAAGTTGTCTAAATAATCTATTGTTTTCATTTTTCAATTCATTGTTTTCACTTTTCAATTAATTATTTTTTCTTGTCAATTTATTGGATTTGTTTTCCTATTGTTTTATTTGCCAGTTTTGATTGCACTTTGCAATTTCTCCCAATCCCTTAAAATATTAGTATAATCATCTTTATTAATTATAGAAAGCTCTCCAAAATCAAAACGGTTTGTTGGTATTGTGACTTGTCCTTGTACAAATTGTTGTAATAATTGTAGTTGTATGAATTTTTGCTGATTCTTCAAGAGTTGTTGCTGATGTTGTGTGAAGCTTTGCTGTTTTTGTAGAAGCTGTTGACGTTGTTCTAAGAGTTCTGAGAGATGTTGCTGGTGTTGAGTGGATTTTTGTTGACATTCTAAGAGTTGCTGCTGTTGCTGCTGTATGAATTGTTCCAGTTGTTGTAAGTGTTCTTGCTGTTGTTGTAAGTGCTCTTCCTGTTGTTGTAAGAATTTTTGTTGTTGCAAGAGTTCTCGCTGTTGTTGTAAGGGTTGTTGCTGTTGTTGTTGTTGTGTGAGCTGTTGCTGTTGTTGTGTTAATTGTTGCTGTTGTTGTAATAGTTTTTGCTGTTGTTGTAAAATCTTTTGTTGTTTTTGTGGAGGTTGTTGTAATTGTTGTTGTAAAAGTTGTTGCTGTTGTTCTAAAACTTCTAAAAGTTGTTTTTGTAATGGTTGTTGCTGTTGTTGTAAAACTTGTTCTTGTTGTTGCTGTTGTTGTAAAACTAGTTCTTGTTGTTGTAGCATTTGTTGCTGCTGTTGTTCTAAGAGCTGTTGCAATTGTTGTGCGAGTTGTAGCTGTTTTTCCAAGAGTTGTTGATTTTGTTGTGAAGGTTTTCGTTTTTGTTGTTCCAAGAGTTGTTGCTGTTGCTCTAAGGATTGTAGCTGTTGTCCTAAAAGTTGCTGCTGATGTTGTGAGGATAATTGTTGTTGCTTTTTAAAGTTTTGTTCCTGTTGTTCTAAGAATTCTTGCTGAAGTTGATTTGCATCATAAGCATTCAGATTGTCTTTATCAGTGTCACCATCATCATATTCACTAAGACCTTCTAAAGTAACGATTGAATCCGTCATTTCTTTTTCTTTTTTAATAAAAATAAAAATAAATAAATTTGTGAAACCAAATTTAAATTAGAATTACTATGAATGATTTAATATTAATATTAATATTAAATCTAAGATTCGAATATAGCCAAACTTATCAACAGAAGCTTTAAAACAATTAATATTACTGCCTTCGCCTTGTGGACGTTCAGCGAAGATAAAAAGTTTTTAAGAATTTTCTGTATATAAATTTGTCTTAATACTGGCATAAGTCAGTTTATAATTAATTCGATGCAAAACCAATCTTGACTAATGACAACAAAGTATGTGATCATAATAATAATTTTATAATTGTGAAATTATATTATTACTTGTTGTTTCCCAACTCACCTTCCAGTAAGTCTCTTAACAAAATTTCTTAAAGAATAAATAACACCAAGCACTCTAATTCCAAAGTTTCTACAATCTGTGAAATATCCCGCCCCTGGAAGAAATGGCTTCTTTGGTGTTTTGTTTGATGAATTAAAACTTCAGGCCTGCTATAATTTACCTGGCGAATAGACCAGCAAGAATGATTTTATTGACAAATGTATGATAAACCAGCTTTATGACTAATAATAATAAGTTCTCCTGCAGGGCGGAATAGACTCATTATATATTTTATATATTTGGGATATATATACACTACATGATCGAGAGTATTAATAGTATTGCATACCTAACACAACAAATTACACAAAACCCGCATAATGAAAACAAAAATTCATATCATTTTGTAACTTAGTTTTTTCATGCAAAATCCTACCCTTCTATGATGTCTAGAATAATAATGAATAAAAAAAATCCGTCGAATTGAAATAATTAACATACACCTGAAATTATATAATAAAGTTAATATTTTGTTGGTCACCCATTGCTTTCAATGACAACTTCTATCAATTTGATTATGACATAATTTGTAATTCTTCTCATTAAAATTTCTCGCATTCTTTGGGCGCCTACTAATTCTTTCTTACAATAAATGCTCAATTGGGTTCAAGTCAGGTTTATTCATCATAAAAGAGTAGAATTTTGCATGAAATCCTAAGCTGCAAAATTATATATATATGATTCTTTTGTAATTTAGTATGCAGGGTTTTGCAATACTTTTGACTATGTAGCGAATGTATTTTTTGACATTTATTTTGCGAGATAAATAATTTTACTTCATTCAACATTCAACTGCATTAGCATTGGATGTTGATCATCCTAAATCATTAAAGGACCCGTTGAAGAACGAATATGGAGTTCGACATACTGTATTTGTGATTATTGTCCAATAAAAATTGATTTGCCTATTTGAAAAACTGCGCTATGGGATTTTAAAAGTGCTTATGTTTACTAAATTACAAATAATAATTAATAAATGTTGCAAAAGTTAACTTATAATATGGGGCATACTGCAACAAAACCCAAGATAAAGTGAAAATCGTGTCACTTGCAAGAATTGTGGTTAAAGACATTGCACACCATAGCAAGTTGTTATTTGGATTGGTAATTTTTTATAAATTGGATTTTAACATGTAAAAATTTAAAAAATCTTGA